ACCAGTCAGAGGTTAAGAGCCAACATTTTGACTATGTTACTGCAAAGAGCCACATCAAACACAGTCACAGATGCACGTGCACCCCCCCCCTCCCTCATTCTCTCTTTTGTTCTCAGCCTTTCTCTGTGCTCCTTCACTTTCTTCCTCCCTTCTCTCTCTCACAGATAAAATGAAAATATAAAACTTCACACACACACACACACACACACACACACACACACAGTATACATCACTTCAGGGGACATTACATTGACTTACATGCATTTCCTGGAGACTTATCCTAACCCTAACCATAACCAACACATGCCTAACCCTTAACCTTACACTAACCCTAATCCTAAACCTAACCAAGTCTTCACCCTAAAATTAATGATTCCCCTCATGGGGACCTCCAATTTGTCCCCATAAGGGAGGCGAGTCCCCACACGTGACTGTGTCAACAGATTTAGGTCCCCACAAGTATAGTAATGCTAGGCCACACACACACACACACACACACACACACACACACACACACACACAGAGACACACACACACACACACACACACAGAGAGACACACACACACACACACAGCTCTGCTCAGACAGATTTATTGTAAATGGCACACACCATAATATTGACAGAAATTGAATTAAACCTCTCCTACCAGTATTCAGAGGCCAGTTAACATAACAACATAACAATGAACATTGTGTGCACTCACACACAAACTCTCAGTAAACAAAATTGAAAAGGTTTGTTATCTTACTTTAAATTAGTGAGACTTCTGACATTCCTTGCTTTGAACAATCCTCCTCAAATCTGGCTTGTATTCCGTTGTGGCCACTCGAAGCAATTCTCTCACATGTGTGTCAGTCAGAACAGATCGATGCTTGGATTTCACATGTTTCAGGGTAGAAAACACAGACTCACAGACGTATGTTGACCCAAACATTGAAAGTAGCTTGAGCGCAGCCCGTTTGACATTTGGGTATTTTTCGATCGGCACAGTTTTCCAGAACTCAAGGGTCCCTTCCCTCAGAACAGGTTTCAGTCGGTCATCCTCTGAAAGTTCGATCATCTCCAACTCGGCCATCGCCTCGTCCTTGACTAGCGGGGCTTTCAAACAGTCCGTCTCAGCATTAAAAGGATCAACGAGGAACGTAATCTGTGGCCTTTTCACATGTAGATCATGGAACCGGGTCGCAAAGTTTTCCTGCAGGGTTTCAATCAATATTGCATAACGGGCTGTTTGCTTTTTCCGGGTGGCACCGGTGGCTTGTGCGCTTGCTTTTAGCAGAGGGGGAAAATGCGCTAATTCTCCCTTTTGAAGATGTGTCTTAAACAGTTTCAGTTTGTTAACAAACGCAAATACACTTTGCACTAAGTCAGGCAGCATTTTTAACTTTCCCTGCAGATCCAGGTTCAGTCTGTCCAGATGACACAGCATGTCGACCAAAAAGGCCAGATCCATAATCCACTTGGGGTCTGAGAGCTCCGGATAATCCTTGTCCTTCTGTTCCATGAACAGTTTCACAGCATCCAACAGCTCAAAGAAGCAAGACAGCACTTTGCCTTTAGAAAGCCACCTCACAGTGCAGTGCAGCGGCAGGTCTCCTGGAAGCCCTTGGTCGAGTTCAGCGATGAGATTCTTAAATTGCCTGTGGTTAAGAGCATGCGTGCGGATGTAGTTTACGATTTCCATCACAGGCTTCATGACGTTGTCTAAATTCAGTGATTTGGACACAAGTTGCTCCCGGTGAATGATGCAGTGGAAATTCCAAAATTCGGGAAATGTGTTGTCAGCTTTGCACAGCCCCACAAGCCCGTTCACAGATCCGACCATTGATGGCGCTCCATCCGTGGCTATTGCAGTTAGTTTCTGCTTGGGCACATTTGCTTTCACAAACACATTTATCATTGTTTCTTTTACATCGATGCCACGGGTTCTGTCTTTTAATGGCACAATATCAAGGAGTTCTTCTTTTATAACACAATCCTTTGAGACTGATCGTGCAAATATTGCCAACTGAGGCTTGTCTTGTATGTCACAAGACTCATCCAATGCCACACTGAAAAACTCACATGTTTGAAGATCAGAGTGTAACTGCGCTTCAATGGCGGTGCTAATGTCCGATATTCTGCGTTCAACAGTGTGGCGGGACAGTTGGACGTCTGATACCGCTTGTTTCAGTTTTTTGTTTTCTGGAGACAAGATTTCAACCACGTCACTGAGGCATTTTTGAACAAACTCCCCTTCATTGTACGGCTTTTTAGCTTGTGCTATGTTCCAAGCAACTTGATAAGATGCAAGTGTTACGGTCTCCGAGTGCTTCGTTATTTTTTTGAAAAACTGTGTCTGCTTTTCTGCCTGACTTTTCAAGGTGTTTATCTTCTGCTTGCGAAGTTCCGTACCTTTTGGGAAGTCATGGTCGATGTTAGCATGGAGTGAGGTGAAATGGCGCTGAAGATTTGAAGCCTTGAAATGGGTTAATGCTGTCTGGCATATAAGGCAAAATGGCTTGCAATTGCGTTCGATAAAAAAATATGAACTCTCCCACTCTACTAAAAACGTCCTATGTTCGTCTTCATATTTTCGCTTAGCTGTGCATTTCTTCCCTGCCATTTTAGGATCAAACTCAATTCATGGTCAGATAGTGTTTATTACTCGATTCTGATTGGTCAATTCAGAACACGTGACACGTTGTTAATCCAGAACAGACAGACCGCTGTCAAGCAGTTCCTGCCGTTGCTACATTCAAACAGTAACAACGGACTATTTCTCTTAGCGGATGCATGTCATTTTAAATAAATAATAGCGTACTATTTTTTTAAATCAATAAAAACATTTTCTAAATCTATAAAAGCATTTCAATTAATATTGGGAGTCATATCGTTACTTTGTTGAGAATGTGGCCATGTAATAAGCGGGATAATGGGAAAATAACACCCTTCATGCAGATCTAGACCCCTCCGCTTCGCTCCTGATCAAAATTAGACGGCGGCGCTGTCATCCTCTCATACTGACACCTGACACCACACATACACACGTAGGGAGAGCCGGGACGAAAGTAACGGAGTGATTTTATCCGTGCCCAAACAACTTTGACCGGTCAAATTACGTCAGAATTATCAGCATTCAATACTTAACAGACCTATTAAATATCAGGTCTAACTGTCAGGAGTCCGTGTCTCTCCCCCACACTCACACATATAAAATTCGATATGAATTGAAGAGCCGCATGAAACTGGCTCTCGAGCCGCATGCGGCTCGCGAGCCGCGGGTTGGCCACCCCTGCTCTAGTCGCTCGAGTTTCACCGCAGTTGCCAGCTATGTTTACTCGCATCATTCAAACAAGACGCGCTCGGGAGCTACAACTACAACAAAATGAACATATTTTACCGTGATTAAATTGTAATACACGTTTCTAAATGATGCCGACGTAACAACATACTGATACCGGTTAGTAAAAACCATGAATTAATGCTTTGACAAGTCTGCAGACAGACGGCAGGCGAAAAACCTTTTAGAATGCTTGTTTTCTGAATGGAGATTGGGTCGACCAGGCTAAGCTAACGTTGTATATGCTCACTCCACACTCATAACAACGGCCTACAGACATAAATAAACCAGCGACTGTATTCGCCATGACACAGACAGTGCCGAGCGGGGCCAGTTTTTGGTTGCGTTTCCACTTGGCCTAGTACCGGCTAGTGGGTCCTAATTCACAGTTTTTCTGGCCCCATAACATCGTGGTTCTAGGGCCAGGAACAACCAGGCTGAGTCGGGCTGAGTATGCTAAACTAGAGAGAGAATCGCTGGCAAGGGGGCTACAACTACAACAAGATGAACATATTTGACCGTGATTTAATTGTAATACACGTTTCAAAATGATGCCGAATTAACAACATACTGATACCGGTTAGTAAAAACCATGAATTAATGCTTTGACAAGTCTGCAGACAGACGGCAGGCGAAAAACCCTTTTAAAATGCGTGTTTTCTAAATGGAGCTTGGCTAAGCTAACGTTATATATGCTCCGACCGTCCACACTCACAACAACGGCCTACAGACATAAATAAACCAGCGACTGTATTCTCCATGACACAGACAGTCTGTGGTTTGTACTTGTTTAACTTTTGTCTAGTTTCTGAACAGATCGTATCTGTCCCCGGCTGTTTGAAGAGCAAGCATGGGGAAAAAAAGACAGCATTTACCTGTTTGCATCCAGCTAGCCATGCCTTTCTGGTGTACCAGCTACGTGAGAAGCCTCGTTGATACGTTTTGTCTTTTTCACGAGTTTGCTGCGATATACACAAATCGGGTTGGTCCGGTCCAAGGTCTTTAAGCAACAGTTTATCTCCCAAACTTCTCCTTTCGAAAGGATTGGAGAGTAGCTCTTGAACGGAATTGGGCGGGGACCGAGGTCCGGCGACTCCACCTGCACACAAAGCCATTCTCATCCAACTACTGCGTCACCTTGGTCACTCAAGAGTCTAAAAAACAACTCACGTCAACGCACGTAAGCAACGTGGGCGCCAATGTGAGCGCCCACGTGACCAAAATATTTGACGGCGCTGATTGGCTGAAATTATGTTTCGGCGGCACAGTTTACTATTGAGACTTTTGCAACGTGCTGGTTGCTGCTGTTTGGCTCGGGGGCTCCTTGCACGGCGCATGATAAACTAATGCCACGGGCAAGGCCAGGCAGGAAACATGTGACTTATCAGTAACTTTAGACATCGTAACACAATTTTAAACGAGATTTTATTATAGATTATACATTTTACTGATACCAATTGTATGATATTTACCTTGTTCATTAAAAATAAAAATATTTAAAAAAAAAAAAATGTAAATATTTTTTTTTTAATTAAATATTTGTTTTAATTTTTTTTTTTGTATGTGGGAAGAGGTGGGGCGGCGCCCCTATGGGCCGGCCACCAGTAAAAGGCTAGCAGGGGGAGGAGACAGGAGGAGGAGGGAACAGGACTCTGCAGGATATAAGGAGCCTGCACCCCTACTCTTTTACCTTACATTCCTGAATTCTTCTTACTGCTGAAGCCCAGAACACAAAGGAGCAGCCATGAGGAACACACTGATGATGCTGGTCGCCCTGATGTGTGCGCTGACCGTCTGCGCTGACATCACACCGGCCGCAGACTTCGACCTGCAGAAGGTAAGAGACGGATTAGATTCTGCTGATATTACACAAACAAATAAAGCTGGTTATTCCTGCAGTAACTGTGGTTGTGTAACATGTTTATTGCATGAGGTTTTAAGAGTTTAAATGAAATGATTCAATGTGCTGCTGTTCAGATAACCTCTCACCTACTTTGCATTGATAGATTTGAGTTTATAAGTCTTTATTGACCCCTTCTGTTTTTCTTTTAGATGTCAGGCAAGTGGTACACTGTCGCAATAACCAGCAACGCTCAGTGGTTTGTGAACAGCATGGCAGGAATGAAGACTTTGACAGCTGTATTTGTGCCGACTGAAGGAGGGGACATGGATCTCAATTATGCCAGCTTGAAGTGAGTGATCTCTATGCAATCATACTTTAAATCAATATAAGGATTCTCTGAAATGTCCGTATTATATAATATGATTGATCATCAAATCAACAACTCTAAAACAAACCTCTTCTTCAATCTTTTAGAGACGACGGTTCCTGCTACAGAGCAACTCGCATCGTTCGGAAAACAGAGACTCCCGGTCGCTTCACCTTCCACAGCCAGCGTGAGTAGAGCATGACACACACACACACACACACACACACACACGACGTAGCGATTCAACAGCCTGACCTCTCTATTTCTGCTCTCATCAGTTAGGAACAACGACAACGTCATGACCTTTGTTGAAGTTGTGTACGACGACTACGCCCTGGTGCACACCATCAAGACGAAGGAGGAAGTGTCTGAGGCCTTCATCACAGTCTACAGTGAGTGAAGAGAGACACACAGTGTGATGGAATAGCTGTGTGATTTGGTGAAGGTGAAATTAACTCTGTGTGTTTGCAGGCCGCACTACTGAGTTCAGTGAGGTGGTGCAGCAGAAGTTCACCCAGCTCGCTCTGGAAGCTGGAGTCCTGCCCGACAACGCCATCATCCTGCCACAGAACGGTAATGCAGAAAAACAGCACTTTCATAAAAACTCATTTAACGTTTCCTCACTTATACTCATTGTCCTCATCCTGTGTTGTTACAGCTGAGTGTCCCGCAGTCTGAGGACCCCCTGCTGACTCCCCCCCCCTCACTCATACTAAAGAGCAATCCTGACACTCGTTCAGGGCTCATTCCCCCCCCCCCCACACTCTGCACCTAAACTGTGGCATCAGAGCGACACAACAGAACAGCTGATAGTGAACAGAGGGAATTATTGCAAGAGACTGTGAATGCTGTTTGTTGTCTGAGTGTTTGTTGAAATAAACTTAAAGCCAGACATTTTTGTTTTTGTTTCAGTGTTAAAATTCTTTCTAGAAACGGCAACGTTTCAAATCTTTAGAATCATGAATGTCAAATCAATTTAGCAAATTACATTACACACATGATTAACAGGCATACAATTAGATCTCCAGGAATTACACAGGGGCTAGGTTTTATTTCAAACAGCCCTACAGACAGATTAAAGGGTTAATGTAATACTAGATTAGCTAAATACACAAACAAAGTTCTATTGTGGGCCTCTTTGCAAGTAATCACATATAATAAAGCTCTGCATAGGACTTTATGAATCAAACCAGGAAAGAGCAATCTTCAATTGTAATACAACTGACACTGGACTCGGTACTAGTTTGACTTCTACCAAAATAAAGTACTTTTACTGTGAACTTTGTGAGTAATCCTCTGTCAAAGTCCCCTCCTTAGTACTTAATGCATGTTTTTCTGCTATCTTTGATGAATGATAAAAAATTGTACCATTACTTCTTAATGAAATTGATAATGGTTGACTTTGTATTAGTTAGCCTAACAATACATTGAAGTACTTTTACTGTGTATTTATTGAGAAATACTTTGTCAAAGTCCCCTGCTGAGAACAAAATCAAGCCACTTCTGCTAAGTTTGATGAGGGAATCATTTTTTGTTTCCATTAGTTCTTCATGAGATTGATCCTGTTGGACTCAGTACTAGTGAAACTACCCCCACAAGTACTATGAAGTACTTACTGTGTACTTTCCCAATAATCCTCTGTCAAGGTCCCCTCATGAGTAAGAATGCATGTTTTTCTGCTATTTTTAATAAGCGTTAAAAAAAAACTTTCTTCCTGAGACTGATATTATTGGACAGAGTATTTTAAGAGGATATGGTATAGCCTACTATACATGATATCAGCAATACTTCCAGTCAGTACTCCGGCAGCAGCATTTGTACCCCTTGGAAAGTATTTAGAGACTATCCTATCCCAAATATCCTTCAGCAAAGTGACACACCCTGTCACTCTGGTTGGCCTCTTATGAAGCTGCTGTCTTTTAATAAATAAAGTACCGGCACTTCTGGTTCTGACCCATGGAGTACCGGCACTTCTTGCTCAGTACCGGCATGCTGGCGGTACTCCGGTACTCATGCACCGTGCCAGTACTCAACACTCTCCCGCCGTTCTTATTATACATCCATATATATATATACAGCCGCCCGGTACTCAGTAGATGCGTCATGAGGTGCCGAACGGACATTCTCATCGCTCTAACCGCTGGAGTTTCACAGCGGCTGTCAGCTGTTTACTCCTGTCGTTCAACCAGAACGTGCTGGAGAGGGGGCGGGGCTTATCTTCTCCATGTAAATACTGTGGTGGAAACGACTATGTCAAAATTAACCTATTTGACCGTGATTTAATAGTAATACACGTTTCAAAATAATAATAATAATAATGCCGAAGTAACAACATACTGAAAACTGTTAGTAAAACCATGTTTTAATGCTTTACAATTTACATACCTAGATGCACGTGTGTTGTGTTTATGCAGTGCAACTCCCACCCAGTGGGTGGCTATGTAGAGTGATAGAACAGAGCAGGCACGCCCCCGAGAGAAGGAAAGCAAGTCACGTCACAAATTAGCATTTCTAAAATGTTAGCGTGGATTAATAAAAGTGCAAAAAGACAGCGGTTGTCGCCGGAAGAAACTTCAAATACAGAGAATGCTGTGCCTGTGTTGGAAATTGTGTCTGATGGGGAGCTTTCTTTGGTTGATCCTCCTGCTCCAAGTTCTAGTGCATTAGCATTAGCACTAGCTCCGCCGCCTCCTCCAGAGCCTCTAACGTTAGCTGCTGCTGGCGCAACTGCCACCACCAACACCTGGCAAAGCGATGCACCTGACTGCTGGACAACGGACCAGGTGCAATATTTTTGCAAGACCAATGCATGGCTCCTTCTTAAAGATAAGAAGCTAGGATGTCGGATATGCAGAGATGTCAAATCTTTGGGAATACACACTGGACAAGGACTGAAACTGTCAACCGAATGGGGTGAGTGTGCAGTGTCTCATTTCGGTGTTGACAAGGGCAAACAACAAGCTAGCCTGGGAAAAAAAAATCAAAGAACATAAAGAATCACAAGCCCATGTAAAAGCTGCTGACATCCTTACATCTGCTTCACGTGAAACTATTCAACATCAAGTGCAGTCTATGCATACATCTGAATTAGACACCACTATCAGAGTTTTTCGAACGGCATATAAAATTGGCAAACATAGCCGGCCATTCACAGACATGCCAATTGATTTGAATGTACATAAACTGAATGGGCTGAACGTGGGCAGGGTTTTGCACTCCAATAAAACCTGTGGCGAAATCATCGACCACATAGCTCATGAGCTGAAGAAAAAAATGGCAAAAGACATTACAGAAAACCAAAGAAAACTCTGTGTTTTGGTCGATGAATCTACCACTATTAGTGGTAAAACGGTGCTTGTTGTGTGTCTACGCTCAGCATTAGCTGATGCTGAGCCCGAAACGTTTTTTTGGGAGCTGATCGAGTTGGATGGAACAACGGCTGATGACATTACAAAGGCGTTAATGGAGTGTCTTGGAAGAGATTTTAACGAGGACTTTTTAGGTCAGTGTTTCGTTTCTTTTGCATGTGATGGGGCTTCAGTCATGCTAGGGAAGAGAACAGGCGTTGCTACCCAGTTGTGTAGTAAATTCCCAAGCCTGTTTGTGTGGCACTGCTCCAATCATCGTCTAGAGCTGGCAGTTGGGGATGTGGTCAAGGAGGTCTCAGGGCTCAATCATTTCCAGATCTTTTTTGACAAACTCTATTCCTTGTTCCATGCCTCCCCCAAAAATCAGAGGCAGTTAGCGCAGTGTGCGCAAGCAGTCGGACAGCGTCTCCTGGTGATAGGGCGTGTTTTGTCCATCCGCTGGGTGGCTTCAAGTGAAAGGAGCGTCAGAGCAGTCTGGGAAAACTACCGAGTGCTTCATGATCACTTCACAAATGCTGCAAACGACACGAGCAGGGATTCCAGAGACAGAGCAAAGTACAAGGGCCTGGATGATGTGCTCACATCTGCAACGTTTGTCAGCAATCTGGGACTGATGTACGATGCGCTCACAGAGCTCAGCGACCTCTCTCGGCAACTCCAAAAAAGAGAGATGACACTGCCTACAGCAGATAGGCTCTTAACTCGAGAAATACGAGTTTTTGAATCCATGGTCACCATGCCTGGCCCACACATGACTACAGTTCATACAGCTCTAGCTGAGAAGTCCTTCAAGGGTGTTGCCCTGCGTGAGAATGGCAGGCTTGTACAGATTCATGCAGGTCAGTTTTTCCGCAGTATGGTAGAGAATCTGAGACACAGAATGACTTCCACAACCTCCTCTCATGTCAGCACAAGAGAAATCCCATTACATGGCCGGGAGGCCCGGGACAATCAGCTAATCCAGGACATGAAAGTTATCCATCCTGGAAGTTGGCCTGAAGAGGAGTTAGACGTACAGTATGGGGACGTAGAGGTGCTACGTTTGTGCGAAGTGCTGAAAGTGGACAGAAGAGAGACACTGTTCAGGGCTTTCGCGAATACAAGGAAACCAGGGCATCCCGTACACCTGCTGCCATGGAGCCTCTACTGAAAGCAGTCCGAACCATCGCTGTCTCCACTAGTGAGTGTGAGCGGGCATTCAGCTGCATGAACGATATCCTTACTGCAAAAAGGAATGCTCTCTCTGTCAGCCGACTGTCCAGCCTGGTTTTCATTAAATGTAATGGACCATCACTAGGACTGTTCAATCCGGAACAGTATGTGAGGTCCTGGCTGGCAAAGGGAAGGAGAAGTGCTGATGAAAGAGCCTGTCCAGCTCCAGCCCCTGATACTGATGTCCCCAAGGCCTTCTGGAGCCTTTTCTAACAATGTGAAGTATATTGCAAAGCAGCTCACCCAGTGAGAAGACTTTTGGCATAATGTGCCGATTTGTACAGATCCTGGAGATAGAAGGACTTCAGACCAACCAGGGAGTTATCTGATCAGCTTGGTGTTCAATGTAACTCTTTACCATGGCTCAGACTTTGTTACTTGCAGTTACAGTTTCTCATTTTAGATTGTGCAAATTTTGCATTTGTTTTTACATGTTCTTTGTTCATGCTCTTTATCATTTTTCTGAGTTGGAAAGTTAGATTGCATCATAGTTTACTTTATACATATTTGTATTCTTCAGTGGTGAAGTATATTGCAAAGCAGCTCAGCCATGTGAGAAGACTTTTGGCACTTTTTCGTTTTTCGTTTTCTGAGTTGGAAAGTTAGATTGCATTCAAAATGTACAGAAATACTTAATTTTGTTAAAGCTTTTTAGAAAAAATGCTTCTGACCAGAGCTTTGTTTCCTTGTCATTAATGTTGAACACCACCAGAGGGGCTCTCACCTGAAAGGTCTCTGCTTCATGTGTCTTCAGCAGAAGATCTAGACTTTGATTGCTATATTTTCAGTTAATATTGACCTTACTGAGCTTTAGGCATATCCGCTGCCTATCATAAAAAATGTTAAGTACAGTGAACCTTTCTAAAATATACAGTAGTAAAGAGACAAACCCACCAGCATTATAGTAGCCAAATTCTTGTTTGTGGGCTGTATATATAAAATTGACTTGAAAAAGTTGCTGATTTTAGAGTACTGGCACCTTTTTCATTCCAATTCAAGCACTGATTATATCACAGCTAAGGGAGTTGTCGACCCTCCACTTCGTGTCGGGCCGAACCACGCCCCCTGTGATATAATGAGCATATACCACGGCCTGAAGTGAGCTATTGCTTTTATAAAACGGTTACCAAGTGTGGCAATATGAAAGAAAATACACACTCTAATTTAAATAGTTTTTATTAGTAAATAATGATGTTCAAAATAAAATAGTCCCTCCGTTGCCTTCTGCACGAAACATAGTGCGAGGTGGTTGCTATGCAACAACATTAACAGCTCGCGAACATATTAGACAGAGAGCGTTGATCCATTATTTGGCTATTTATTTACATTCATTTGTATGTTGCCGTTTATTGTGCACCCACTGAAAAACTGTCCAGCATCAGTAGAATGGCTTACGAGGTTACTTGTATAGGTTGAGGTTGTTCTGGCTGTTGCTTGGCGTGGCGAGAATATTGCTCCACTTTCTCCGGTCCCCGAGATTTGGCTTCCAGTAGCTCTGGAGAGAGCTTTCGCACCGCTCATAATTTCTCTACTTTGTTTCAAGACCCGTATCAGAAAGCTTTTGAATGGTGCTACTTTTCCAGTTGGTCTACCTGCTCTTCACGTAGCTCTGCATGTCGTCGTTTAGGTGTTTTTTTTTCTTCTGGAGATAGGTATTCCTCAATTCACTCCTCCATAGTAAGACCCCCCCCGGAGGTCGAAGTTAATCTTAAATGTTTCCATCTTATGCTTTGTAAGTTTGTTTCGTAACGGAAGAAATGTAAATATATTTATAAAACTGACAAGTCAAATCAAGATATCCCTGCCCTAATGCCAAAGGAACTGCACACTGAATATGTTTTGCCGTTTGATGTCTATGTCTGGACCGCTGCGTAAAGAGGAGGGTTTCTGCCCGTTACTTCTCCGCTGCTTTCTTGCCGTTTGCTTTTCAGACCAACGGTATACTGTTTTTCTCAGACGCGGAGGGATACTGACTTGTTGTGAAAAGTAATTTACAATTCTACCCGTGGTATACGCTCAGTATATCACGGCTAAGAACCAATCAGATTGCTTGATTTGACTTGTCCGTTTTATAATAGTACTTTTACTTAAGATTAACAACTGTATGTGACCAGCATGTTTTTCTGGGATTGTGGATATGACAGATCATTTTGAGTGTCTCTGTTTTTAATGTTATATATTTGTCATATCTGTGTCATGCAGTGTGGGTCTCACTTCTGTAGTCAGGGCACAGACTGTAGAGGGCTCTTTGGTCTTGACTTGGTCTCGGTTTAAGGGGTTTGGACAACAACATACTGCTAAAGTGTTTGTCTTATATTGTCCGTAGAAAACGTTGTTATGGTAATGAATGCCTCTTGTTCATGTAACCAAGCACACATAAACACAAACAATTATATAAATTGAGTCAACACACTTTTTATTAATATGTAATGTTGAAACGTAATGCAGTGGGTGTTTTACAGTGGGCTTCACAGAGGAAAGAGTAGAAATCCACTGAAAACCATGCGATTAAACAAATCATCATAAACGTTGTAGCTGGAGGGCAGAACCATGTTGGCAACATCTCCCTTCTCCAGCTGAAGAACCATTGAGTTAGCCGCAGAGACGTAGCCATAGGCATCATTGTAATCTTGAAGCCTCATCTTCATCACGTTGTTGAGAGCGAATTCAAGAGCGGTATCTGATACAAAGCGGCTTCCCCACATGTTGAAGCTGAAGTAGTAGACTCCTTTGACGGGGGCTGTGAAGATACCTGCATCACAGGAGAAGGTCAGTGAGGGGAGATTGTTTCTGGTGCTTCAGCAGGACTTAAGGATGTTTTTTTTTTAAATATGGAACATGTAGGAGCTCTTAACTTTGTTCTATTTTCTACCATGATCAACTGTAGGAAAACTAAGAGATGTTTTAATGGTTTCATTAAGAAAACTCTTAAGAAAGCTTACAGTCACACATCTACTGTAAATGAATATTAGTGTGTGTGTGTGTGTGTGTGTGTGTGTGTGTGTGTGTGTGTGTGTGTGTGTGTGTGTGTGTGTGTGTGTGTGTGTGTGTGTGTGTGTGTGTGTGTGTGTGTGTGTGTGTGTGTGTGTGTGTGTGTGTGTGGCCTAGCATTACTATACTTGTGGGGACCTAAATCTGTTTACACAGTCACGTGTGGGGGCTCGCCTCCCTTATGGGGACAAAATGGAGGTCCCCATTAGGGTGAAGACTTGGTTAGGTTGGGGTTAGGCATGTGTTGGTTATAGTTAAGGTTAGGATAAGTCTCCAGGAAATGCATGTAAGTCAATGTAATGTCCCCTGAAGTGATGTATACATTGTGTGTGTGTGTGTGTGTGTGTGTGTGTGTGTGTGTGTGTGTGTGTGTGTGTGTGTGTGTGTGTGTGTGTGTGTGTGTGTGTGTGTGTGTGTGTGTGTGTGTGTGTGTGTGTGTGTGTGTGTGTGTGTGTGTGTGTGTGTGTGTGTGCGTGCGTGCGTGCGTGTGTGTGTGTGTGTGTTCAGTACCTGTAGTTGGGTTGTAGGCCTGGCCGATATTGGTGAAGACTTTAGTGTACTTCAGTATTGAGTTAGTGCCGAAGGGTCCGACTACTCCTGCATCACTGAGACCGGCTGAGAACGCCACCTGAGGACCGGCTGTGAGAAAGAGGAGGATGCAGCAGAGTTTGACATTTGCTGGTATATCAGTATACCAGTTCTATTCTTATTCAATACTTTGACTCTTCATAATAGTTTATGTTTCTTATTCCTTCTCACTGGAGCTCATCCTGGCCTCTAAAGCTGAACACATTTTAAAATTGTTATTAGTATTATTGTAGATGTCACTGTGGAGCTCTGTCACAACTGTACATCAACATATAAGTAAGCATTTCATGTAAACATTTAACCTGCTTTCACTCCTTGGATATCAAACTCCCCCTCTTTCTTCCCTGTCCCCCCTCCATCCTCACCCTGAGTCCCCGTCCAGAGCAGACAGAACAGCAACGCCAGAAAAACTGCAGCTCTCCTCATTCTGAATTTTCGCTGTTCAGACAGAGAAGTGTGACACGTCTCGCTCTGTCCCCGTCTTTATATACACGTTAAACAGGTCACGAGGTCGTGAGAATCCAGCAGATGTCCTTGATAACAAATATGAAAAACATCCAAACGTCCTTGACATTAACCTGACTTTAAAGGAAACAACAACTTGAATTTTGTCCTTGAACATAGGTTATTATGTATGCTTTCAAAAGCAACATATGTAATGGCTAAACTGCATTCTTTCATATTTGTTCTCAGTGTGTAAAGGTTGTTTTCCTAGACTTGTATGAAAGAGGACATATTTTGCTCATTTCCAGGTTCATAATAATAATAATAATAATACATGTTATTTATATAGCGCTTCTCCTGGTGCTAAAAGCGCTTATACATATTATTATGTAGTGTCTCTACTTTAAAAAGTCCTCTCCTGCTGATGTCCAGGTGTATATAAGTATGTAGTGTCTCTACTTTAAAGAGTCCTCTCCTGCTGATGTTCAGGTGTATATCAGTATGTAGTGTCTCTACTTTAAAGAGTCCTCTCCTGCTGATGTTCAGGTGTATATCAGTATGTAGTGTCTCTACTTTAAAGAGTCCTCTCCTGCTGATGTTCAGGTGTATGTAGTGTCTCTACTTTAAAAAGTCCTCTCCTGCTGATGTTCAGGTGTATATAAGTATGTAGTGTCTCTACTTTAAAGAGTCCTCTCCTGCTGATGTTCAGGTGTATATCAGTATGTAGTGTCTCTACCTTAAAGAGTCCTCTCCTGCTGATGTTCAGGTGTATATCAGTATGTAGTGTCTCTACTTTAAAGAGTCCTCTCCTGCTGATGTTCAGGTGTATATCAGTATGTAGTGTCTCTACTTTAAAGAGTCCTCTCCTGCTGATGTTCAGGTGTATATCAGTATGTAGTGTCTCTACTTTAAAAGAGTCCTCTCCTGCTGATGTTCCAGGTGTATATCAGTATGTAGTGTCTCTACTTTAAAGAGTCCTCTCCTGCTGATGTTCAGGTGTATATCAGTATGTAGTGTCTCTACTTTAAAGAGTCCTCTCCTGCTGATGTTCAGGTGTATATCAGTATGTAGTGTCTCTACTTTAAAGAGTCCTCTCCTGCTGATGTTCAGGTGTATATCAGTATGTAGTGTCTCTACTTTAAAGAGTCCTCTCCTGCTGATGTTCAGGTGTATATCAGTATGTAGTGTCTCTACTTTAAAGAGTCCTCTCCTGCTGATGTTCAGGTGTATATCAGTATGTAGTGTCTCTACTTTAAAGAGTCCTCTCCTGCTGATGTTCAGGTGTATATCAGTATGTAGTGTCTCTACTTTAAAAGAGTCCTCTCCTGCTGATGTTCAGGGTGTATATCAGTATGTAGTGTCTCTACTTTAAAAGAGTCCTCTCCTGCTGATGTTCAGGTGTATATCAGTATGTAGTGTCTCTACTTTAAAGAGTCCTCTCCTGCTGATGTTCAGGTGTATATCAGTATGTAGTGTCTCTACTTTAAAGAGTCCTCTCCTGCTGATGTTCAGGTGTATATCAGTATGTAGTGTCTCTACTTTAAAGAGTCCTCTCCTGCTGATGTTCAGGTGTATATCAGTATGTAGTGTCTCTACTTTAAAGAGTCCTCTCCTGCTGATGTTCAGGTGTATATCAGTATGTAGTGTCTCTACTTTAAAGAGTCCTCTCCTGCTGATGTTCAGGTGTATATCAGTATGTAGTGTCTCTACTTTAAAGAGTCCTCTCCTGCTGATGTTCAGGTGTATATCAGTATGTAGTGTCTCTACTTTAAAGAGTCCTCTCCTGCTGATGTTCAGGTGTATATCAGTATGTAGTGTCTCTACTTTAAAGAGTCCTCTCCTGCTGATGTTCAGGTGTATATCAGTATGTAGTGTCTCTACTTTAAAGAGTCCTCTCCTGCTGATGTTCAGGTGTATATCAGTATGTAGTGTCTCTACTTTAAAGAGTCCTCTCCTGCTGATGTTCAGGTGTATATCAGTATGTAGTGTCTCTACTTTAAAGAGTCCTCTCCTGCTGATGTTCAGGTGTATATCAGTATGTAGTGTCTCTACTTTAAAGAGTCCTCTCCTGCTGATGTTCAGGTGTATATCAGTATGTAGTGTCTCTACTTTAAAGAGTCCTCTCCTGCTGATGTTCAGGTGTATATCAGTATGTAGTGTCTCTACTTTAAAGAGTCCTCTCCTGCTGATGTTCAGGTGTATATCAGTATGTAGTGTCTCTACTTTAAAGAGTCCTCTCCTGCTGATGTTCAGGTGTATATCAGTATGTAGTGTCTCTACTTTAAGAGTCCTCTCCTGCTGATGTTCAGGTGTATATCAGTATGTAGTGTCTCTACTTTAAAGAGTCCTCTCCTGCTGATGTTCAGGTGTATATCAGTATGTAGTGTCTCTACTTTAAAGAGTCCTCTCCTGCTGATGTTCAGGTGTATATCAGTATGTAGTGTCTCTACTTTAAAGAGTCCTCTCCTGCTGATGTTCAGGTGTATATCAGTATGTAGTGTCTCTACTTTAAAGAGTCCTCTCCTGCTGATGTTCAGGTGTATATCAGTATGTAGTGTCTCTACTTTAAAGAGTCCTCTCCTGCTGATGTTCAGGTGTATATCAGTATGTAGTGTCTCTACTTTAAAGAGTCCTCTCCTGCTGATGTTCAGGTGTATATCAGTATGTAGTGTCTCTACTTTAAAGAGTCCTCTCCTGCTGATGTTCAGGTGTATATCAGTATGTAGTGTCTCTACTTTAAAGAGTCCTCTCCTGCTGATGTTCAGGTGTATATCAGTATGTAGTGTCTCTACTTTAAAAGAGTCCTCTCCTGCTGATGTTCAGGTGTATATCAGTAGTAGTGTCTCTACTTTAAAGAGTCCTCTCCTGCTGATGTTCAGGTGTAATATCAGTATGTAGTGTCTCTACTTTAAAGAGTCCTCTCCTGCTGATGTTCAGGTGTATATCAGTATGTAGTGTCTCTACTTTAAAGAGTCCTCTCCTGCTGATGTTCAGGTGTATATCAGTATGTAGTGTCTCTACTTTAAAGAGTCCTCTCCTGCTGATGTTCAGGTGTATATCAGTATGTAGTGTCTCTACTTTAAAGAGTCCTCTCCTGCTGATGTTCAGGTGTATATCAGTATGTAGCGTCTCTACTTTAAAGAGTCCTCTCCTGCTGATGTTCAGGTGTATATCAGTATGTAGTGTCTCTACTTTAAAGAGTCCTCTCCTGCTGATGTTCAGGGTATATCAGTATGTAGTGTCCTCTACTTTAAAGAGTCCTCTCCTGCTGATGTTCAGGTGTATATCAGTATGTAGTGTCTCTACTTTAAAGAGTCCTCTCCTGCTGATGTCAGGTGTATATCAGTATGTAGTGTCTCTACTTTAAAGAGTCCTCTCCTGCTGATGTTCAGGTGTATATCAGTATGTAGTGTCTCTACTTTAAAGAGTCCCTCTCCTGCTGATGTTCAGGTGTATATCAGTATGTAGTGTCTCTACTTTAAAGAGTCCTCTCCTGCTGATGTTCAGGTGTATATCAGTATGTAGTGTCTCTACTTTAAAGAGTCCTCTCCTGCTGATGTTCAGGTGTATATCAGTATGTAGTGTCTCTACTTTAAAGAGTCCTCTCCTGCTGATGTTCAGGTGTATCAGTATGTAGTGTCTCTACTTTAAAGAGTTCCTCTCCTGCTGATGTTCAGGTGTATATCAGTATGTAGTGTCCTCTACTTTAAAAGAGTCCTCTCCTGCTGATGTTCAGGTGTATATCAGTATGTAGTGTCTCTACTTTAAAGAGTCCTCTCCTGCTGATGTTCAGGTGTATATCAGTATGTAGTGTCTCTACTTTAAAGAGTCCTCTCCTGCTGATGTTCAGGTGTATATCAGTATGTAGTGTCTCTACTTTAAAGAGTCCTCTCCTGCTGATGTTCAGGTGTATATCAGTATTAGTGTCTCTACTTTAAGAGTCCTCTCCTGCTGATGTTCAGGTGTATATCAGTATGTAGTGTCTCTACTTTAAAGAGTCCTCTCCTGCTGATGTTCAGGTGTATATCAGTATGTAGTGTCTCTACTTTAAAGAGTCCTCTCCTGCTGATGTTCAGGTGTATATCAGTATGTAGTGTCTCTACTTTAAAGAGTCCTCTCCTGCTGATGTTCAGGTGTATATCAGTATGTAGTGTCTCTACTTTAAAGAGTCCTCTCCTGCTGATGTTCAGGTGTATATCAGTATGTAGTGTCTCTACTTTAAAGAGTCCTCTCCTGCTGATGTTCAGGTGTATATCAGTATGTAGTGTCTCTACTTTAAAGAGTCCTCTCCTGCTGATGTTCAGGTGTATATCAGTATGTAGTGTCTCTACTTTAAAGAGTCCTCCTCCTGCTGATGTTCAGGTGTATATCAGTATGTAGTGTCTCTACTTTAAAGAGTCCTCTCCTGCTGATGTTCAGGTGTATATCAGTATGTAGTGTCTCTACTTTAAAGAGTCCTCTCCTGCTGATGTTCCAGGTGTATATCAGTATGTAGTGTCTCTACTTTAAAGAGTCCTCTCCTGCTGATGTTCAGGTGTATATCAGTATGTAGTGTCTCTACTTTAAAGAGTCCTCTCCTGCTGATGTTCAGGTGTATATCAGTATGTAGTGTCTCTACTTTAAAGAGTCCTCTCCTGCTGATGTTCAGGTGTATATCAGTATGTAGTGTCTCTACTTTAAAGAGTCCTCTCCTGCTGATGTTCAGGTGTATATCAGTATGTAGTGTCTCTACTTTAAAAGAGTCCTCTCCTGCTGATGTTCAGGTGTATATCAGTATGTATTTGTCTCTACTTTAAAGAGTCCTCTCCTGCTGATGGTTCAGGTGTAATCCTATATTTATCAGTATGTAGTGTCTCTACTTTAAAGAGTTCTCTCCTGCTGATGTCAGGTGTATATCAGTATGTAGTGTCTCTACTTTAAAGAGTCCTCTCCTGCTGATGTCCAGGTGTATATCAGTATGTAGTGTCTCTACTTTAAAGAGTCCTCTCCTGCTGATG